CTACTAAAAAAAGGAACTTTCCAAATATTCCAAATCTAGAAACTTCCAATTTAAGAAAGTTTTTAAAATTTTATGTAGAAGATCTAAACATGAATCCCAAAATTACATGGAATATCAACTGATTAGAATGTCCATACACTTGATATAGGTACAGAACAAGTCTAAGCAGCCTAAGTCTATTTCATCGAGCAGTCAGTCAAAGTTAGTTGGTAGTTACCTTACTGTGATTTTAAAAGTTCAAAGTGAAATTTTTATTACTAATTCTATTTTGAAGTGTCAATTGGGAATTTACTTGATTAAATGATTTACTTGGGGAGTTATGCAAGTTCTATTTTTACCATATAAAGATGGACCATGTGTATTTTTTGAAGTATTTGTATATATTATCATGTACGAAATGGGTGGTATCTTTGTAAAATCAAAGAATTATTTATGTGACGTGTGAAATGAATTTATGTCAAGTAAAGGTCAAAATAGTCATGGAATAGATGGTAGGGGCTATAGTCCTACTTAATAGTTATGGTAACCTTGTGTAGAGTCCAACCGATTGACAAGATCAAAGTAGTTTAGTATAAAGTCTGGCCGATTGACAATTATGATAGTTCAGTATAGAGCCCAGCCGATTGATTGTCATAGTAGTTCGGTATAGAGTCCGGCCGATTGACAAGATCAAAGTAGTTTAGTGTAGAGTCTGGCCGATTAACTGTCATAGTAGTTCGGTATAAAGTCCAGCCGATTGACCTATGTATATAATAAGACCAATCGGTAGTCATGAAATCTATTAGTCGCTCACCTAAAACGAGTTTAATTTCTAAGTTGAGTACTCAGAAGTCGATCATTCCATGTACTTGTTATGAGTTGATATGAAATGATTTACAACTATATGGTTTTCATATACGGTTATGTATGGGATGTTTACAAGTTGTTGTGTCACTCATTATTATTAACTGTTTTACGAATAATATATTTTCAATAATTATGCATGTGAATTGTGTGCAAATAATTTGATATATATGCATGTATATGTAAGCTATGGTTGCATGGTCCAACAGAAGAGTAAACGCTACCTATTGCTCAACCTATTTTTTCCATTTTTGCAAATTCTAAAGAGTATGAATTGGTTTACGTTGAAAATCCTAAGGGTGATTTTTATTAGCTCTAAGTGGATAGAAATTAGAGTCTAGCTGCTTTTGGTTATTAATTTTATTTAATATTTTTCACGTTGTTTCGTCTAGAAAATAAATGTACAAATTTATTGGATACTCGTAGACTACCATCCATTTGAGATTTGTACCGCACTATATTTAGTTATTCTATTCAGTATTTTCTTAATTTTATTCTAGTTTAATGTTGCTTTGTATTTTTGAGTGAGACTTGAGAATAAAGTGAATGTCATGTGACTGACATGTGTGGACCAAGGGCTTGACAAATCATGTATTTTAACTTTCTGCGGAGGGAAGTTCAGAAATATCACATTGCTATGATACTTTAAATGTAAAAATAAATGATTTGCTTCATAAAAAATTTTTAAGATCATTCTACTGTTAGTGTTTGGATTGAAGATTATTTCATTTTATCTACACCTTATTTACACACACTGATTTACTTGCATTATCAACACATTTTTCAATCATCTTTTTATTTCACATACATCATATCAAAAAAAGTGTTACAGTAAAAATGTCTCAAATAATTTACAATCCAAACACCGTGAATTAATATAGAAGTGTGTCGCAAAGTTCCTGTAATGTTTGCTGAGTTTGATGTAACTCAAACCATGAAGGAAACAATTTATAGGAGAGAAATTATTCTTAGGTGGGAATGGAAATAGTTGCCAAGGTACTACATCTTCATTTCATAATTCGACAAAGCTTGAGTGCCATTAGTGTTTTTTTTCTAGCACCTCCGAACTCATACAGTATCCAAACATCTATGAATGCGTTGTTTGAGTTTACAAAAACAAAAACTCCTAATCTGAGAGACAAGACAAAGATCTTTGACATCCAAAGTAAACTTTTGTTTTTCTTAGTTTGATACAAAAAGTCTGTTCTACTTTGCAGTTTTATTTGTGAGTATATCCTTACATTGATTTATTACCATAGGTTCAGTTTCATGAATCCTTATTTGGCTTTCAATTTTATTTGACAGATATTGAGATCCAAAATTACAGCGCAAGTCCAAGTCTTTGTAGTTCCCAGAGCTTGCAGTCCTTTCAAAATGATGCTTAATAGTTAAGATAACCAATTTATAAGTGCAAGAATCTGTTTTAGTTTATAGAACCATGTGATCATGATTTCATGTTTTAAAATGGCACCCTTAACTTCCAAATATCACACTATTTACATCTTCTGTCAACTATACATGCCCACCAGAAACTAAATTATACGTTTAGAATATAAAGCTATAATCAGGTGAAATTTTACTCTGAAAAGATATAGAATGTCAAGCTGTGCAAGCTCAAACTAATCTTTTCTGTCCAGCACTTTGATCTGTAATATGAAGGCCAAAGAGATGCCGAATAAATATCGTCCAAGCATGTACATCTAAAGGGCTAGCTCAAGTTACCTTGGCTATCCAATCAAGCATCAGGATCTTGCATAAAATGTTGTTGCCCGCGTTGACGCCTCTGCTGTATCATGCTTGCAATCAAGTAACAAGGATGAATTCTTCAACAGCAAAGATGGTGCTCACATTAGTTGCTCAGTCCTCCATTGCTACAGCAAATTATCTCGATCACCAGCTAAAACAAAAGGAGGCCTTGCCTTGAAGACACAAGCATGCAAGATGAGCTAATAATTATTAAGGCTGAATTAATAGAGCAACAATAAGATATTGTAGAAAAGAAACCGTCTTGCCCCTATCCAACACAGGCAAAATCCCTGTAGTAAAAGCGTGGTGACATGATATACTGTATGTTTCAGCATCATGCTATGTTCTTATAAAGTAACATATGTTTAATATGTGTAAAACTATTTGTTCCACCAATTAATATTATTTACTGCAACTGGCACCTACGAATGAGTGGATTTTGACCAAAAGCCTGCAAAGTCGTTTTGACCTGAGGGATGGCATGAACCTGGACTACCTGTGTGAAGATGTCCATTGTGATGATAAGGAACTGTGAAAGAGACAGGGAAGTCAAAATTTGATTGATTGTGAGTTAAATGATTTTCCTCTTTTGCTGCCGGACACTGTCCTATCAAAGGGTGTGACACAATTTGCTTCTGTGTGTGTGAGCCATCGCTGTTTACTAAAAAAAGAGATATAATATAAGGTCAATTTGTATGATAAGCAATTTTTTTTTCTTTTTTTCTTGGAGAAATTTTGTTGAATGATATACATGGCTAAAAAGAGTAAAATATTTACACTCTAAACAACTCTACCTTGAATATTTCTTCTAACTATTTTTCGACCAATTATTTACTTTATATACGTCACATCTTGAAAAATATTTCTCCAAAAATCCTCTAAAAAATACAATCCAAACTGCCTGTTAGCCTCAACAATCACAACCAGTCGCTTGGGCTGTGGCTGCTGCGGCGGCGCAACTTCACACATAGCCAGTCGTTCGATGATGTAAGATGTTACGCTCTTTAGTAGGCTCGTTTGACTCCAAATCTCTGGGATGCGCGTGTAGCTGAAGGCCAGTAGAATGGACAACTTTTATAGACTTTTTGGAATCACTGATGACGTCATGTCATTTTATTACTTCTTTGTTTTTTCCCTAGTTTGGTTTTCGGTGGAATCTTTTTTTCTAAGTGCTGAAATTTTGAAAAAGGAACTCGAAAAGCACAGATGAGATGTCGATACTCAAAAATAAAAAAAAAAATTTTAAACATAAATGAGATGTCAATACTCGAAAAAAATAAAAAGGATCTTTCTGTTGTTAAATATCTGGCGCGGATATATCATTTAGCAAATCTGAGTAATTTACTATCACATATCACGTCTATCAAGTGAAAAGAAGTTTCTGCTGCCCAGTAAATTAATGTTTTGTGGTGTGAAGAACTTCAAATTTTATTTGATGTCATGAGGTCTTTATTATTTGTCCAATTGTTAGTCTGAATCGAAATAAGATTTGACATATATACATTGTGTTGTAATTTTTCATAAGATGTGACTATGTCAAACTACGGTATGAAAACACAGATTATGTCAAACATCACCATGTGAGAATAGGCCTGTCAACGGGTCGGATCTAGATCCGGATCCGGACCGAATCCGTGAAATTATTGTGGGTATGTATAGGGATTTAATTCTGTTTTCCGGATTCGGATCCGGATCCGTTTTGTCAAACAAAAACGGGTCGGATACGGAATATAGCATTCCGACCCGTATTAGACCCGGATCCGGATATAAATGAATTAATAATTTAAAAAATATATATTTATCAATATAATTTGATTAGGGTGATGTATTTTAATAAAGTTAATTTGATTTCTTTTCTTATTTGATTTTTTCTTTGCATTAGTTAGAAATTAGTTTACAAATATATATTTTTTTCATTTTTATTAGAAATTATAAATTTTAATAAATTTGTTCGGGTAGACCCGGATCCGGATTCGGGACCCGTCGGATCCGAATCCGGAACATAGAATAAAAGACCGTCGGGTAAACGGGTCGAATCCGGATCCGGCATAGTAATTCGGGTCCAGATGCGGAATAATGAATTTCGGCCCGAACCCGGCCCGTTGACGGCCCTATGTGAGAAACAAACCGGCCTAAAAAATTAGGTACGTGTGTGTGGTTTTTTCAGTTTCTGAAAAAAAAAAAAAAAAAGAGAACCAAACCGGCCTAAAAATTAGACCAAAAGATTTTGGGACGATTATGGTTCAAACATTAAACCCAAAAAAAGGAAAAAAAAAAAAAAAGGATCTTTGGACCCCACCCAGGTTGGCAGTCGCGAGCTTGCAACCAAGAAGATTCTTCTGTGAATTCTACTTGAACACTATAAATATGCATTGATGAGATAATTCATTCTCTCATCTGCGCAACTTCAAGCTACTCGAGGCATCAGAAAGAAGAAACTTTTTTGTATCATCAATTAAATTCTTGTTCAGTAAGAACCAGAAATGTCAAATAAGGCTGAGAATGGAGAACAGGAGCAACAGCAGCGTCAGTCTATCCTCCCTTTACTCACCCCATACAAAATGGGCAACTTCCAGCTTTCTCATAGGTACTCTTCCTTTTTCTTTTTTTCTTTATTTTCCTGCTAGAAATTTTCATTTTTTTCATTTTATTTTTTTTGGGCCTTGTCTTTTTGTAAAGAATATTGCATTCTGTAATGGAGAATAGAGTGTTTTTGTATTTCCTTCTTTTTGGATTTTTTTTTTCTCTTTTTTATGGGTTTATGAGAAAAAGTCTATTTTTCTGGGGAAATTCCAGTTGGGATTCTGCTTGGTGCATTACTGAACTAGTTACAACTATGTTTATTATTTTTGTAAGTATAACCAATTCAAGACAAAGAAAGGAAAGAATGAAAGAAAGGATTTCTTATGGCCTTGTTTTGAAGGATAATCAGAGTATATGTTGCATTCTCACTTCTCAGTTATCTTGCGGTTGGATTATTGCAATTCTGTTTAGTCTCTTCCTGAAGGTTTGTTTATAAAAGTCAAATCTTTGAAGGGAAAGAAGCTCTGGACATCAATCAACTGAAATGTGTCTAGATACATTGACTGAGACTATGAATTAGTGTTCACATATTATGATTTCTTTGGCCGAGTTTATGAACTGAAAATCTAGAAGAAGTTTTGTCTCATATTTAACCCCAAAAAATAAAAATGGAGGAAGAACTAAAGAAAGAGGGATAGTTGCATTTTATTTGTTCTTTCCATTATGCGGTCAATATGTGCTGATTTTAGATGCCAATTAGACTTCAGATAGTCAATTAGCTTTGATTTTATTGAAACATTTATGTGATTCATGTAAAAAGTTTTGCCAGAGCATCTCAGGTGGAGAATATGGTTCCACTTTAATTCCTTGAAACAGGGTTCAAAAATTAGGATTCTGCTTCTGGGTGTCCCCTAAGTTGAGGTTTGGAGTTCATAAAAGTGATCTTTCTTGCCCTTATGCAAATGCGGATCTATCCTATATTTGCTCAACGGACCAAAAGCAACTTTTTTGTTGGTTGCCAAGCCGATTTTTGTGAGATTGTGAACATTGTATATCTATATCCTTTAAAACATTTTTCTCCTTTTTTTTTTCTTTTTTTTTTGGGTCGCAAAAGAATCTAGTATTGCAATGAATTAGGCAAATATCAGGAAGCATTTCAAGTTTTAAATTTGCTAAATTGGAATGTCATAATCACATTTTTTTTCTTTTGTTGCTGGGATTGGATTATTTAGAATCCGGTGCTCCTGATACTTCAATTCAACTGAAAGAAAGAAATTGGAAACTAATTTGTTCACCATTTCTTTTCTGATTTCCTACAGAATTGTTTTGGCACCTCTGACAAGGCAAAGATCCTATGGAAATGTACCACAGCCACATGCCATACTGTATTACTCTCAGAGAACCACCAAAGGTGGTCTTCTCATAGCAGAAGCTACAGGAGTTTCTGACACAGCTCAAGGGTAATTGGTTTTAGTATTTCTTTCTATCTTACTGATTCATAGATTCCACGAATGCCTACACATTTGGCAGTACGTGTATTGTTTTACCTGTCTATACAAGAGTTTTATGTTTCTCCCAATTGTAGGTATCCAGATACACCTGGTATATGGACAAAGGAACAAGTTGAGGCCTGGAAACCCATCGTAGATGCTGTTCATGCCAAAGGTGGTATCTTCTTTTGCCAAATTTGGCATGTTGGAAGGGTTTCAAATTATAGTAAGTCCTTCTGTCATTACCTTTCCCTAATTTTCTGCCTTGTTGGATGTCAAATGTATAGTGGAATTCATACAAAGATCAGAAATGAATTGTTATTTAATATTCACTTGACAAGACCAGATCACTCCACATGATGTATTACAGTTTTGATTTTCTGTTGGGACTAAGCTTTTATGAAGAAATGATTGGACTTGTAGGCAATCCACAATATATAATTTCTTGTTATGCCGTCTCTCGGCCTATTAATGATCCATATTATTGGTTATGGAGTCATAAAACCTCGTATTTCCTCTAAGATCTGCTTTATCTGACTGTCATTCACAGGTTATCAGCCCAATGGACAAGCTCCGATCTCATCTACTGACAAGCTATTAACTCCTCAACTTCGAGCGAATGGTGTTGATGTTGCGGAATTTGCACCACCACGCCGGTTGAGGACTGAAGAAATTCCTGAGATTGTTAATGACTTTAAGCTTGCTGCAATAAATGCTATTGAAGCTGGTAAGGATTTTTGTCATGATTAATATATATTTGAATCTGTAACGTTTGGATGTAGCTTTTTGAAGGGGAATGGTAAATCTGGTAACAGAGTTGTATACTTCGTTTTGTGATGGTTTAAAGGCAGTAAATAGAGTCAAAAAAGAAGGAATTGTCTAATTAAGCAACTTAACTATTCCACAAAAAGATCAAAATATCTACAAACCTTGTGATGCTGCAACTTATTTAAAAAATTTGCCTTCTAGCTTAGAGCACAATGATCAAGTAAGCTTGCTTGAATTGCTTGCCCTGGAGGGCGGAACTATTCTTCAGGTTCTAAATCAGTTACCTATAAAACTGTGCTGCCTTGCTACTTTATGAATAAAAAATACACTTTTTTAAATAGTAGAAATATAATGTCTATTCTGACGTTACTTTGGACAACGGAGAATATGAGAACTATATCCTGAAAAGGAAGCTCAATCACATCTTTCTCTAACTTTATGTATTCCACAAATTATGAAGCAAAGGAAATTTGGGGGAAAGCAGGCTATGGTTCGTTGGCTAATATAGCCTGTTAAATTTTGCAGGATTTGATGGTGTTGAGATCCATGGAGCTCATGGCTATTTAATAGAACAGTTTTTGAAAGACCAAGTCAACGACCGAACAGATGAATATGGAGGCTCTCTGGAGAATCGTTGCAGATTTGCTCTGGAAATTGTTGAAGCTGTCTCCAATGCAATAGGAGCTGATAGAGTTGGCATCAGGCTCTCCCCATTTGCAAGCTACTCCCAAGCAGGAGATTCAAATCCAAATGCTCTTGGTCTTTACATGGCTGCAGCTTTGAATAAATATGGACTTGCATACTGTCACATGGTCGAGCCAAGGATGAAAACTGTTGGGGAAAAATCTGAAACTCCCGATAGTCTTTTGCCCATGAGAAAGGCATTCAAAGGTACTTTCATGGTTGCTGGTGGTTATGATAGGAAAGATGGCATTCAAGCAGTCGCTGAAAGTCGTGCTGATCTTGTTGCTTATGGACGATTGTTCTTGGCCAATCCAGATTTGCCAAAGCGATTCGAGTTAAATGCTTCTCTGAACAAGTACAACAGAGCCACTTTCTATTTACCTGATCCTGTTGTTGGCTACACTGACTATCCATTTCTTGAAACCACAGCGTAATTCTAAAAGAATATTCATTGTATTGCTGGGTCAGAATTTTAAAGCGTACGGCTTTTTTTTTACAGATTCTACTGCAGATATACAACTGAAAATCATATACAGAATTTCTTCAAGAAAAGCTTGGATGATGACTTTTTCCTGTGATTGGGGTCTGTTTGGTTTTTTATTTTCAACTCAAAATATAGACACGGCTTCCAAATATTACACAAATTGGAAGTTCATGTTGCATCCTAAAAGATAACTTCCGAATTTGCAAATTGAGAAATTGTGCTAGTTAACGTTGCCTCCTGCCACTACACCTAAACATATGGTAACCAGTTTCAATAAAGTAATTCATTAGACTAGAGTTTTCCAATTTTCAGTTCCTTGGGTACATATGTGTAAAGTACTTGGTACTACAATAAAACTTGGATCACGAGAATTGTGTAATGCATGGTCAGCCTGCAGCTATGCATAGAGCAGCCATGCATAAACTTGAATAATTTTCTGTTTCACGAGAAAATTTGCTGTCATCTGGGCTGTAGGCCATTTTCCAGCCTGCTCCGTCCCCCTTATGCTCTGCACCTCTACCCTTGCCATACAAAGTGTTCTCGGAGCTACAGATGCCACCTTTACGGCTGGCCATCAGCCGTTGCTCAAACTAGGGAAGACAATAGTATAAGAACAAGTTTACATCTCTATCAAATGAAAGTGGAAGTCAATAGATATTCTTAAAATATGACCAATGCATACGATTAAGAACCCGGGAAAAAAAAACAGTTGTCGATCAAGCACTTTTAAACCTCTTTTTCCCCTTTTTGTTGAGAATTTTTCGGGCCTTGTCTCTCACCCACAAAACGTAGATACCGTTGAAAATTGATCACCAACCTTGTTTCTCTAATATGTTTAGAACCACTTGTTAATTAAATACACGGGCTAACATTTCTTATTATTTGATCCCGATTCCCTAATTAACAATAATAACCAAGTTTGTCAGATATATACGTACAAAAATTAGTAGTAAAAGTTTGGCTATGATCAGCCCCTTGGTGTATACTGGCTGGCTAATATCAGCAAAATGCCAAAGCATCTGGATCCAGCTCTATAAATATTTACACATTAGTTGCTCGCATACTGCAAATTAAGACTAAGAAGAGGAGTGGAGAGACAAGTAGCAAGGCATGGAAATTGAGACAGATGATGGAGCAGAACAGCAGCAGCAACCAATTCCTTTACTGACTCCATATAAATTGGGAAATTTTCAGCTCTGTCATAGGTATATGTCTGTCTACTTATCTATTTGATTCTTGTTTTTCCGTTTTGTTTTCAAGATTTATGTAGTTTTCATTCTCTTATGAAGAATCAAGAATGTGATGTTCTTTTATTGACTCTTGAAAATTTCTGGTTTTTGATGAAAATGAAGATTTTTGGGGGAAAATCCCAGTTGGGAAATTAGCTCTTTGATGCATCAACTGTTGTAATTACTCGTGATTGGAGATTAGAGAGTAGCCTCATTACAACTTAATTCAGTTCATTGATTTCATAAATGGCTTACGTTCTTCAACTTTATTTGTGCCATGACAGAGATATTTGTGGTCCATATGGATCCAAGACCTTATCGTAACAACAAAATCTGGACGAACAAGACATTTTTTTCTATGGCCTTCAATCTTCATAGTTGAAAATGCAAACAAAAGTTTTCAGAAGACAATGGAAAGGATTTATCTTAGCTTCATCGAAACAGAATTGAAAATTACTCAGAGAAGCAACGAAAAATTGATTGCAACTCCTCCCATTTCTACTTTTACCTCATGCTTCAAGTTTCAACATTCAAATTTTTACATTGCATTTCACTGTTTGGAAGTTGCTTTCAACTTCCAAAGTTTGATTGTCACACTCAAGGCTTGATCCATACCAGAAAAAGTTTGAAGGCTAATGTTTTCACCAATTTTGGTTATGTAAATCCATTCAGAATTGTTTTGGCACCTCTGACAAGGATGAGATCTTACGACAATATTCCGCGGCCACACGCCATTTTATACTACTCTCAGAGAGCTACTAAAGGAGGTCTGCTCATAGCCGAAGCCACCGTAGTTTCTGAAACAGGCCGTGGGTAATTACAGTAGCATTCTTATTTGAACTCTTAATCGCTCAATGACATTCTTCTTTTGGTTATTGCGCAATTTCTGAACTTAGTGTTCCCTTTATAACCAAAAAGATGTCCAGCTACACCAGGCATTTGGACAAAGGAGCAAGTTGAGACCTGGAAACCCATTGTAGATGCAGTACATGCCAAAGGCTGTATCTTCTTTTGCCAGATTTGGCATGCAGGACGGATTTCAAATTACAGTGAGTTCTTATCTTGTTACAATTTTCGTAACTTTTTGTACTCTATATGCCGTGTTCTTCTTGGACCACTGCCCTACACATAAATGGACTACAAATCTTAAAGAAGACTCACATGACAAGACCTCTGTGGACGGTGCATTGTACCTTCAAATATCGATTGGAATCAAGCATGTATAGAACTCTGAGCTGTCTTGGAGGCAATTCATAATTCTTTTTCCTCTGTTGTGCAGTGTTGTATAAAATTGAGATTTTTTGTTTCTTACTTGTGCAGCTTGGGAGGCGAAGATTGGTTTATCTGTTTCATGCTTTTTTTTTTTTTTTTCTATTCCAGGTTATCAGCCCAATGGACAATCTCCAATCTCATCAACAGACAAGCAATTAACTTTCAAAGTTCAAAAGAACGGCGTAGATGATTACAAGTATCCACCTCCACGACGCCTAAGAACAGAAGAAATTCCTGCGATTGTCAATGAATTCAGAGTCGCTGCAATTAATGCTATTGAAGCTGGTATGGCTATACAAAAAACGAACTGAACTGAAAACCTTTCATTTACCCTTTTTGCAGAGAAAGACTGAGCTCAGGTTAAAGAACTTTGGTCTACTTATCGTTTGTTTACTATGAATAGCAAAATTATTGAAGGGGAGCTAGAAGAGTAAAAGAAAAAGAAAATGACAAAAATTTAAATGGAACAATCATTAAATCTTCAGGATATTAAATAAGCAATGCATTTGATGTTGGAAATAGTTTGTAATACAACTCAGAATGAAAAGAGCTGAAGTGTGCAATTGATGAAGATCCGAATTTGGATCCCTGTAACGGTCATTTTCTGTAAATTCATTTGGCACCTTTTCATGTGAATTTTCTGAAAGATTGCCTGTAAATTTTCTGCAAATTCATTTGACACCTTTTCATGTGAATTTTCTGAAAGGTTGCACCATCAATTCATGCCTGTTAACATGAACATTTTTCTAGGTGTTATAGCAAAATAAATAACTGTTTTAACAGAAGAAAAAACTAACTATTTTTCAGCATTCTAATTCTTGTCAAGACAATCCAAGAACTTGTTATTTGGTTATCATCTCGAATTCATTGTATCATAAAGTTTTTGCCCAATACCTGATTAGCAAGATAGTAGGGGCAATCAAACTTCAAGAAAAGTGATTACACACCTTGAATTCACTTAGTGTTATCAAATTCCCCTTATTTTGTGTCTTTGCAATTTTTTCTAGAACTTCATCATCAATTCTTTTGTTTTTGACTTACTTGTTGTCTTATTACAACCCCTTTGTCAAACAAAGTTAGGTTAGTTGCTAAAGATTATAGGTAAAAGGAATAGACTATTTTGATGCATATGCACTTGTAACTAGACCTACTTCTGTTCGAGTGCTTCTAGCTTTAGGTTATGTATTTAGCCTTTATGTACATCAAATGGATGTTAAAATATCTTTTTTATATGGTGACTTACATTAGGAGGTTTATATGGAACAACCGGCTGGCTTTATGCTACTGGGTAACGAATATAAAGTGAGTAAATTAGTCAAATCTTTGTATAGTTTAAAACAAACTCCGAAACAATGATATGAGAAATTTGAATCTATTTTACTCTCTAGTGGATTTAGGTACAGTAATGCTGATTAGTGCATTTATAATAAATTTAATAGTGAGTATGGTGTGATCATTTGTCTTTTATGCGGATAATATGCTCATTGTTAGTACTATGAATAAAGGTGTAGTGAAGACTAAGAAATATTTATCTCCTAAGTTCAAGATGAAAGATCTTGATGAAATAGATACTATCTTAGAAATTAAAGTTAAGAGACATAGTCCCGGTTTTGTCTTATCACAATCACATTACGTGGAAAATATATTAAAGAAATATCAGCACCTACATGTGAAGGAAGAGGAGACTCTCTTTGATCCTAAATTTAAGTTATATGAAAATACCGGTAAACCAATTGCTCAGCTGGAATATGCTAGTGTAATTGGTAGTCTTATGTATGCAACGAGTTGCACTAGACCAAATATTTCATACTCAGTTTGTAGACTTGTTAGATACACTAAAAATTCGGGACCAGATCATTGGAAAGCCATTGGTAGAGAACTTGGTTATCTTAAAAAAATCGAGAATATTGAACTCTTTTATAATAGTTTTCCTAGTGTTCTAGAGGGATTTTCAGATGCTCGTTGGATTACTAGCATTAGTGATCAAAGACCTACAAGTGGTTGGATATTCTTACTGGGTGGCAAAGCTATCTCATGAGTTTCAAAAAAGCAAACAATGATAACTCATTCAACCATGAAAGTTGAACTTATTACATTATCTTCAGCTTGTAAAGAGGTTGGGTGGCTAAGGGATCTTTTACTTGACATTGATTTTTGGCCTAAACCAATGCCTTTAATAATATCTTTTGTGATAGTGAAACTACTATGTCTAGAGTATTGAACAAGATTTACAATGGCAGGTCTAAACATATAAGCTTGAGGTATGCATTTATTAAAGAAATGCTTGCAAATGATGTTGTTGGTATTGTGTTTGTAAGGACACACAAAAACTTAGCAGAGATTCGTTGACCAAGCCTTTAGTAAGAAAGTTGGTAAATATGACAATATCCAGAATGGGATTAAAGCTGTTAGACTAAAATCACTTAGTAATGGTAACCCAACCTTCTTCTAGTACTACCTCTAGTTTGAAAGGTTTAAAGAGTAAAAACAAATTGTTTTAGGTGGTAGTGAGCACTACAATTTAGGCTAATTCCTTAGATTATAGATGGAAAAAAAAAAGAAAATCG